GTTGTCTCATCTCGCAAGTGACCTGGATGAATATGTTAAACAAATGCCAGTCACAAGACAAAGTCACCACGAAGAAGATATGGTCAAAGAGAGCTACGAAGAAATGCAAGTGATAAAGCATAAAATGGACGATATTTTTAATGAAGAGGGAAAGATTAAGACCGACAGAGTTGTGGTCAAAGAACAAAAAGAAACCCTAATGTCTGAGCCTGAACTTGATCAAGTTTATGTTGAAAGAAGAGGAAGCCCACAAAAAGGTGTAGCCGAAAAAGATATATCAACTATGCTGTCTCATCTCACAAGTAACCTAGATGAATATGTTGAAGAAGTATCTGTGACACAACAAAGCTTTTATGAAGAGGATCTGGTCAGAGAGACCTGCAAAGAAACAAACCTCTTAAGGGACAATTTAGAAGAGACGATTGACAAACATGGAAACATTGACCAAGATTCAGCTAAGGTCACTGAATATAAGGAGGCTACTTCAAAGTTCCAACAAGGTTCTTTCCAGGTTTCATGTTCTCATAATGTATTACAGCGACCATCTGATCTAGAGAACCTTCAGTTTCAGGGGTTTGATGAATCAGATCCAGAGCCATACCACCTGGATTCATTAGAGGCCAGCCCTGTGATGGAAGACAGGTCATCAAAGAAGTCTCCTGATTCAATTGAGCTAAGCCCTAACACAGAATCTCCATGTCAAGACTCTCTTGAAGGAAGTCCTACTCAACCCAAGGAAAATCAATTACCGATGCCAGTACGGACTGCTGTGTATGAAGATTATGCTTCCCAGCTCAAAGCATGTTTTGCTTCTGATAAAATTATTGACACAGATGAATGTGTTGAAAATGCACTAGAGAACAAAACTGTAGTCCCACAAGTGGAAAGTAAAATAAAGGATGATGAGTATCCCAGCTCTACACACCAAATAATGGGGGTCAGTATGTGCTCAAATGAGAATGTTCACTCAATCATCAGCCAAGACTCCCTTCATAGTAATGACAGTGTGAGTGATACCATCAATAAACAATACACTCCAGAGGAAGAGATGTTTAAGATAGCCATAAAGATAAAAACATTTGATGAAATGGAACAGGAATCAAAAGTGAGGACAGACAAATTGTTAGATGCCCCTACACTGTGCAAGGAAGGTGATCATGAGGAAAGCAGAATAGATCTAAAATTTGACCCTGCTGTACAAACTTCTTCCAAAGATATATTGGACAACAGCTGTGAACAATATGCTGAAGAAAGCAGCTTTATCCAGCTAGTTGATGATTCATTGTGTGTAACTTCTAGTCAGAAAGAGGTAGCAAAGAAAAGCATCTCAGTGCCCCTGATAGCAGAATTAGACAAAGACATGACAGAAGAGGAGAATTCCCCAGTAGCAGGGGCACAGTTTTTTAATAAACTCAAGGCCTACAGAACAACTTCAGAAGTTGAAGAGTTAACATTGTGTTATAGTCGCAATTCTGTAGACTTAAAGGAACAGGATGTAGGTCAGGAACAAATATGTATTGTAAGTGCAGAGGAAAAAACACCTGAAAAAGTACCTATTCAGAAACCAGGTGGAGAGAAAAGCCCCAGTCCTTTTCAGTTTCAGGAAGGAAAACTATTTGAAATGACTCGAGGTGGAGCCATTGACATGACAAAAAGGGACGATGATGAAGAAGAGGAAGAATATTCTTTCTTTCACATTACGGAGCCTCAAGTTGGGTATATTGCTCTGGAGGCAGCTATTTCAGATACAACCCTTCAAGAAACTCTAAAACCACATCTGAGTCAGGATGTCTGTGATGTAATTTCTAGTCCTACATCTGAACCTTTCACAGAAACCACTCTTGAAAGGTCAGGAATTGAGAAATCGCTTGAAAACATTGATCCCTGTGGCCTTACAGACGTTAACCTTGTTTCTCCAACTGCTCCTAAGAGTCTTACAGATATTTCTGCAGAGGCTGAAAGTCTTAAATGCCTTGGCCTAGGCTATTTGGACACAACAATAGCTGATCTTCAATCAGATAGCTCTGTTGCTGACCATTTGATAGACTCTGAAAAGATTTGTTCTGACTCCTCGTCTTCTGATGATGATGAATTTGATGAAGATGAAGACCAGTGCTCGGTAATAGAAATTACATATCGTCAAGGTTCCCCCCCACCCCAGGAAATCCAAAAAATTCCCAAGGCTGCAGTGGAATCATCAATGCGAGAACCACATATTTCAGAGCTGGTTCAGACTAGTAAAAAAGCAGAAGGAATCCTAAAATCAAGTCGTAGAACTAGATCTGAGGATAAACCAACCAGGGCTCTTATTAAAGATGGTAGGAGTTATTCTGAGAGCAGTCAACCCTCAAACATATTAACTATTTTCCCATCCAACTCAAATACAATTATCCAAGAGGAAGTTTTAGGTGATAAGATTTCAAGTTCTCCACCAATAAATGAAACATCATTGAGGTCTTCCTTAGAGGCTGATGACATGAGCAGCGCCAGTCACATGAGTTCAGATTCTGTTATATTTACATATGACATACAAGCCTCCCATAGTTCAGATTCTGATGGCAGTCAGCTGCCAGTTGTGCATCCATCTTGTGGAACAGAGGATGTGTTTGAGTCGAGGCCTGCCTGGGATGATACAGTGGAAACTCAGATGCAGAGAATCGCTGATGATCAGACTCCAGAATTTACAGCAGGTATGGCTCAAGGCGAATTTGGCTTTTAGTCTATCTTCTTTCTTTAGAAGCAAGGTCCTTTTCCTCTTCCAAACAACAGTCTCACCATTATTCATTTGCTGTTATTTTGACATTGGAGTTGGTTCCTTCCATTCTGTACTTTTGCCTTATTTCTTTTGGCACGGTTGCACATTTGTAATAGTATTGCATTTAATCCGTTCCCACTATCTCGGAGGGAAAATGCAATCTCAAGATACAAAAGCTGAAAATTTTGATGCAGCATTATTATACAGTTGGAATCATAAGTAACAGTCACCCACATTTACTAATGTTAACCAACCTAGTTCTACATTTTTACATATTAACCAACACATTAATAACAACGCTAACACTGATGGTCTAAAAGCATGTTTTCTTTATGTGACCTTTATGTTCGTAAGTAATCCAATTTTTGTGTTACCATCCATGAATACATCACATATCCTCATTGAACTTACAGCCTATAGCATTGATTCCTGAGGAAGTTATGTTTTGCCATACAAAGGGATATTTTTTATGTTTTGTATATGCTGCATATGAGACAGTTTGTTGTCTTTAACAGGAGGACATCCCCATTTATTTTTTCAGTTATGATTGCCTTCTTTTTTTTAGCTGACTGGCAGGATGACATTGACAGGAAAGAGGAAACATTGACAATAATTGCAGATCTTCTTGGATTCAGCTGGACAGGTAAGCAGTTAATTACATATATATATATATATATATATATATATAATTGTAAGATGATTAGATTTTTGGAGATTCAACTTTCATTTTCCTCAGGTAGAGTGTGCCTTAATTCACCAGACTGATCAAAATCTTACAAAGCCACTATTTTCCTTTTTTGTGAGGTATTCACATTAAGAATATACAAGAAATAAAATGAAGAATAGAATCACTGTTATTAGGTCCAAATGCCTACGTTCGGTATAAGTGCAAAGGTGACACATAAAATAAAGTTTTTCAGTGGAACTTGTACTGTAGGCATTACCATTTCCGATTTATTTGTGATTGAATATTTAAATCAGACACAAAAATTTTGTAGTTTCATGAGAAAAAAAGTACGATTTTATCTCTTTAAACAGGAAGCTGTTAGTGAAAACAAAATCTGAACAGAGGTGCCATTGTAAATGAATGCTACTTAGAAAGTTTGTGTGTCTGTATATAGTGTAATTCATTGTCCACTTTCAACACTGTTATGATACTCATATTTCAAAGCCAAACCTCCCTGTATTCACTACAGTATATTGTGTTCAGAATTTTAATCTCTTTCTTATAAATCACCCCAGAGCTGGCAAGGGAACTGGAATTCAGCGAGGATGATATTCAGCGAGTAAGAATAGAGAATCCTAATTCCCTGCAAGAGCAGAGTCATGCCTTGCTGCAAAGATGGGTTGAGCGCGAAGGCAAACATGCCACAGGTATTTAAAAATGCTATCACAAATGTTTTAATGTGGCAATCTCTAGATTTTGTTGCATTTGTTCATACAAACTTTAGCCACTGAACATTAAGACACTCTAAGGGAGATTTAGCAATCGGGTCTCTCCCTATGTTATTCCACTGTGATGCGCTTTTTCTCTGTTTGGTTTCCTTTTCTTATGTTTATTTCATATACAGCTCTTTGAATTGTGCTGTCACAAAAATATGTGCTGTAAAAAAGTTTCAATTTCCTTAATGCTTTAGGTTCCATCACTTACTTTTTTGCAATGTAGCAATCTCACCATCACATAGTTCACCAATTGTTGAAGGACATTTTGTATACCCTTTTCTACTGACATAATCTACATTAATACTTGAAAAGCTATTTTGTAGACAGAAAACTTTATAAATCTCTCTATTATGTTTTTATTGGTTTATTACTAGTACTAGTACCAGATACAAAGAGTGTTTGGATATAATTTAAAAATCTGAAAAAAATCACGCAGACCTAAATAGTAAATGGTTGTTAAAATTATTTTATATGTTTTGCAGAGGACTGTCTGATAAAAAGACTAACGAAGATCAACCGTATGGACATTGTCCATCTCATTGAAACCCAGATGAGCAAGTCAATTCAAGAGCAAACTTCAAGGACCTATGCAGAGATAGAAAAGACCCTTGATCACAGCGAAGGTAGCCGAACCTTTTTGAGGGTCTTTTTAAACACTACAGTAACCTTTGTGTCAGTTTTCTTGTAGTCTAATCCATTATTCATTTTTGTTTTAGTCTCAGTAGCCCTATCTTCAGTTCAAGATGATACAGACAGCCCCAGAATTGTGAGGAGGGTAGAGTCAGACCGGAGACCACCCCCAGCCGTCTCTGAAGAAGACCTCTCAGTTGCTTCCTTACTGGACATCCCTTCATGGGCAGAACCTGCAGGACAAACCCGTTCGGAGAGCATTCATGGGGATTTATTCGAGGAGCTCGAAATCCCACAGTAAATCACGAATTTGAATTTATTCTTTAATCTGCAATATTGCTTGGACCTGAAATGTGAACTATTTTCATACTTGCAAACCTTTGGAATGTCAGTAAACAGAATCTATTGGGGCCCATATTTTTATAGAAAATTCCTCATCAAGCGACTCAATGGACTGGCCGCAATAAAAGAGATGTCTAATCCAAAGATAATACTTTAAATCAAATGTTATTTTAATATCAGGTTTTTCTTTTTGCTCTGGTTAACAATTTAATTGTGGATCAAGCCCTGCCAGGCCCAAGTCAGGTGTGGCAGGGCTTGACCTATACTTTAATGTGCCAGTGGCATGTAACTCCAGACAACTGACTGGAATTTGGTCTCCTAGGCTCATCCAGTTAAACACAGGTTCATATGGCAAGATACACTGCTCCAGATCATTCTGTTTGTAAGAAACCGCTGCCTATTAAAGCTCAAATTTGTCTGAAAAAACGAAAACACTCTGATAGGGTCAGTGCCAAGGAAACTAACCAAGGTTTCACACTTCAGCTGTTGATTTCATTGCCATGTGGTAGTGCCAGTCAAATACAAGAGGTACACATGTACACATTTGGGTTTGATTGGTCAAATGAAGTGTAATTAAGTGTTACCAAGGTATGACATGGCAAATTCAACCCCAAACACTGTGTGGGACATTATGTCCTTATCATCTCCTCAACTGATCCAGATTTGTTTTATATTTCTAGTTATTACCCTTTATTTTCTGTCATCAAAATCTTGTTTTATACCTATCTCTTTATTTTAACAGTGAATTGAATCCCAATCTATGGAACTCAGAAGACATGGTGGCACAAGACTCTGCTAGTCACAATACAGAAGAGCGAGTAAGTACATGCTTCAGTAAAAAAGAAGAGACATCGAAGAGCCGAGCAGCTCAGGCCCAAGTTTCCTGCTGTAATAAAGATGATTGTGTAAGGTCTGCCAAAGCTGACCTCTTATTCAAACTGGACAGGTGTCAGACCTTACCCTTGAAGCAGTGCGGGTTAATGGATAAGAAAAACCAGATACCAAATGCTATGAATGTACCTTTATCTATATCTATCAGGGACTTTGGTTTAAGCCTGTCTGAGTCAGACAAAGCTGAAAGTGACTTTACTGAGCTTTCTGAAGAGTTAGACTGCACACTTATGCTTGGAAATACAGAAGCAACAAGATCTATTTTAACTGAACTTTATGAACCAGTGTCACCAGCAATAGAACTAAAGAAGAATAAGCCAACTTTGGCCATGACCGAAGATGCCACAGATGTAGTGCGCCAAAGTAGGATATCTCAGAAGGAACCTGATGATGTCTTGTCAAGTCATTACAAGATTCCACAGGCTTCATGTTTTGATTTGGAACCCAAAGCTGTCATGTCATACAAAAACAATAATGCTAAAGAACAAGCACAAAAGGATGGGTATCTCCAACAAATTCCTTTCATTGAGGAAGAAAACATTGAAACAGATGACATATCGAATAGATCTATTATTGGTACAGCTTTGTGCAGCATGATGAAACCAGACAAAAAAAGGAAAAATCAGGCTAGTTTTCCACAGAATCAAACAAACAGCTGCTGCATTCATTTGGAATGTGACTCAACTGATAGATATACAAACCTTTGTCCTACATTTGTCTCACACATTCCACTTCAAATTGATCAAAGAGTGACTGAGACAATACCATCAAATTTCTTTGATTTTCAACCTCTGACCCCTGATGTCTTGGTGTCAGAAGAACAGTTTGACTCATTTTCACCTGTTAGTGAACCAGGCCTTTTCACAGCTGATACATTGATGACAAACACCTGTATGTTTAGGGCATCATCTCCTGAATCGGTAATGTCAATTAGTGATTACAGGGCAATGTCTCCTGATTCTCCCCTGTGTACAAAATGTTTTTTTCCTACAGACTTTTCCAACACACTGGAAGATTCTTGGGCACCTTCTCCAAATCCCAATAGACTCAGCTTGCCAGATATTACTCTAAACTACAATGAAAATGATTTGTACCTACCTACATATGAAGATAAACAAAACATTTGTTCAGAATTGGGTACAACTTCCCATTATTCAGATTTATGCAATTTCTGTAAACCACTGTCCTCTGACTCTCAGACTCCTACATATGGTCAAACTGTTCCAGATGTTTCACATATGAAGGCTGAAAAGAGAATGCCTGTGGCCTCAGATGTATTTGATGATTTTTTAATTGAGCTTTTTACGTGCGATAAAAGTCAATTTTCACATGAGTTATTAACTTCTATTCCAGGATCAGAGAAGGATTGTAGACCATTTTCCCCAGAATCTCAATCCTCTCAGTGTAGCTTCTCATTTCTTGATCTCATATACTCAGAACCATCCCGCTCGCAACTGAGAAGCCAATACTGTAACTACTATTTACTTTATTCAGGTGGTAACCAACCAACACCAACACTGATCAATGATGTTCAGATTGCAATGCCTTGTGAGGAAGTGTATCCAGATATGTCCTTAAGAAAACAATTTGTCAACTCAGACTATGAATCTATGTTGCTTCTTAACGCATCCAAAGAGAATCTTTCATCAATTATTCCATGTTCACAAAACTATGATAATGATTGTGTTGATACTGAAGTGTCTAAAAATGTTCCAATACCATCTTTCAGAGATTGGAATTGTGAAAAAACTTTGGGGGATCCAGATTCAGTAACACTTCAGATAAAAGAAAAGAAAGAAAAGAATGAGGAAACTGCAGTTGTGGATGTTAAATATTCTAAAGGTGAGGCTCCTGCAAATATCAGAAGTGAGGAAGTTCTTTGTCATGATGGAACATTTGGTTTATTTCCTTTTAAAAGTGACAAAACCAAAACACAACCAAATAAAAATGTACAAACTTACCTGGGTTCCTCTGAGTTAACTCTTAGGTCACAATCTTCTAAAAACCTATTATTATTAGGTCAGTCAGAAAATGATGTGATGGAAAAAGAGAAACCAGAAAATGTATGTGTCAATTTTAAGGTGGGATCCTCAGAAACATATAATGATGAAGAAAGTAAAAAGGCTGTTAAAACCTTTACACTTGTCAGAAAAACACAAACAACCAACACTCCCTTAGTTTTTGAGTTTGTAAAGAAACCACAATATATTTTACAATTTCAGAATACACCCATTGCTCTATCAGATGAAAATTTGTTGTTTCTACCCAACAGTGACTCTAGACGAACTTGTATAAGTTGTGAATGTAAAGATACTAGAAATATTGAAGATGATGTGGCCAAAGGACTCCATTCAAATCATTTTCCAACTTTTGATTACAAAAACACACTTCCCATGGAAGGAAAGATTCCACCTCCTTCCACTGAAAGGCCTCAGTTAGATATTAGAGCTTCCTCTCCAGAGTCTTTGGCATCATTTGAAGGTCAATTTTTGTCTGAAACGTTTAATGTGTTACATGAGCAACACTGCAGTTATTACCTGCAATATTCAGTAGATAGACCAGGATCAGTGCTATCAATGCTGTCAGATACAGAGGAGATTGACGTTTGTCATCAGGAGATGTTTGTTGACAACCACACAGAATCACCAGATTCACTTCCTCCAAGGCTTAAAGACACAGCAGTAACTTTAACTTCATCTCCCCTTCATGCTGCTGCCAGGCCTATGACATATGCAGATGTTGTAAGGGGTGTTTCCTTGAAAACAGAGTCTGAGCCTATAATTGGTGTCAGTTTGCTGGAGTCTACAGATGTTTCATCCAATTTCCTGTTAGAGGAAGAGTATCGCCCTTTGTCGGTCGAGGATTGGGTTTCTGAGCTAAACCGTCATTCTCCTAGCTCAGTGGGGTCTTGTAGTGAATTTAGACCCATTTCTCCAGAGTCGCCTGTTCCTCTGTTCACAAGTAATTGCTTAGATTGCAGTATGGTGTTATCAGGAAGCAGGTCTTGTTCCCCAGAATCCACATTATCAGACTGGGAAGGCACAGATTTGTGTCTTGACAATCTT